ATTGGAAATGCGCACACCTGTTACTGAAAGCAAAGAGTCACATAGTTTTGCAAAAAAAAAAATAGTATTGGATCATTTTCCTCAGATTCATAAAGAAGCATACAAGAAATTCTCCACTTATGATCATAATTGGACTGGGAATTTTGGTCACTGATTGAAGCAGTCATCAAGTCAGATGCCATGTAACTACTTTGCTTAATGACAGCAATCCAGTTGCTGTCATTATGCAACAGTGTAGATTGTTAACTGGACCTCCAGGAGAGAGCACAAAGTGTCCCAAGACACTTAGGAGATCTGGACCCTCACCCTGCCCCACAAAGGAGAATACTCGCATGAATACTGATGTTCAATAGAATTTTTGCTAGAACTGAGATCTGTTCATATATGTTTTCTCCTTCCCTCAGTAAGTGAAACCTTTCTGAACTTTCTGGAGAGGAGGGGAAAACAACAGCCAATTCCAGAATTCTGAATGGCATAGCTGACATCTGTTTGCTAGGATTTTCACCAGATTTGAGGTCTGTTCCTCTAGCATGTGGGAGGATTTCCCCATCTGCATGAAGGGGAAATTCCTTGTCATGCTGGGGGAATGGAGCTGACATCCAACATCCCCTTGGCTTGCAACCTTTCCTCCAGCTTCCCTATTGACTTTCTAGGGAAGCCAGCAGAGAATATTGCAAATGGAGAATCCATAATCGCAGGGCATTTGGCAACCAGTTGTACATACAAGCAGGTTGCCATGGTCCCAAACTGTCATATTACATAAAGAGGGAGTGGCAAGATGTTTTATGATGGCTGGAAGTGCTTTACAGGCAGGCAAGCAGCCCTTCTGATGCTGTAATAACTGCAAATGGTCATTAAATGACCGGTTGTAAGTCGAGAATAATGTTTTCACTCATTTATTTAACTGCGTTTTCTTTATCTAGTTTTAAGACTTATATAGAGAACAGGCCACACTTTAGGTCATATTGATGCAAATATTGAAAATCTAAAACGATTCATGAACTTTTAAGCACAGTGCACATATGTCCCCTTGCCCCAAATGAGAACATTCTTAAAACTTTATGACATCTTAAAAAATTAGAGGAGAATTCTACAATATTTCACGAAACATTCAGCTTCTCCTTTGTGGCTACAATCCTGAACACTAAATATCTATTTACTCTTAGTATGAACTGGATGAGCAAAACTGCTAATTAGAATCTTCAGCTAAGCAGAAAATCAGTAGAAAGCATTAGCATACACAGAAAAAGTCACCATTGATATATATTGCTATTTATCTTCTACAAATGCAGTTTCACACAGGTTAAAAGTTCCACTCAGTTGTACAGAACAATACTTTCTAACAAACAGATGTTGCCTCGTTAATTGCAACCAAATTAAGCACAACATCAAAATACAATCCTCTGCCCAGAAAGCTGGTTAGGGAACTCTTCTGTTAACAGCAAATGCCTCAACACACTTGTACCAGAAATTCAATTAAACAATAAGGAATCATTCCAGAATCTGGTTATATAGTTATGAGTTACTGTAGCATTGATTTCAAGCGAAAAGAAATGAAGTAGCATCTCCTCAGGGCTTATTATACACAGAAAGGCAATACCTTAGACAGCAACAGACACATCTACAACTCTGGTCTGCATCTCAATGATTTAGGAAGGTAGTTCATTCCTCCTGCCAATCAGGTTGTTAAGATTTAATAGGAGAATAAAGTATGTGAAATTAAAAGGCAATAAAGGTTTTTAAATGATTCAAATTCAATTCTGAAGGGCATAGTGAGGAAGGGCAAGTGTGCTCTGCAATGCACCTCTGTGAGGTATGGAGGGTTTGCAGTAGCAGATATGGGAGGCATCTAAGGCACAATCCTATCTGCTATAATCTATTCATGTATCTGTGTTTTGGATACAAATATATAGTTATACAGAAAATAGTAGAGAGAAAGAGAAGGAGAGAGAAAAAGATAAAAGAGAAATCTATCTCACTAAATAAAATAGCCTCATAGGCAAAAAATTGAAAGACAAAGTATGGTAGCTTTTGCAATGTGATAAAAATAATCTTAAAAACAGTTCCTGAAATTTCATCGAATGCTCATTTTTTTCAGCTGATATAATTTCAATTTCCTACCTTACATGCATTTCAAGACAACAAAGATGTGTTGAATGATCTCCTAAATGACTGTAGCAACCTCATCTACTAATCTGAATCTATATATGACTGATACTAAATTATGCCTTTTGGGCTGTCAGATTAATTCACTTTCAAACAGCAATGTATCATCCGGTAAGAGAAAATTGAAAACTCCCTCTATGTCACTCCATCAAAAATCTAATCTTTTATGAAAATTTAAGTCTCTGTGAAGTTAAATATGGAACAGGCATAAGGATTTTGAAAATCATCATTATTGCTGGAAGAGAGCTGACATCGCGACGGCACGATGTGCAATCTTGGTGTTCCGAGATCACAGTCGAATTCCTGTCACTGGACGGTCCATTTGGACCTAAACCTTCCTGCAGAGACGGTGATTGAGAAGGGCACCTCCTGCTGATCTCAGGGACACTGCAAAGTCCCTGAAAGATCCAGGAATAGCCTTTTTTTTCCGGCGACAGAAACGCTGCTAATGAAGCTGCTGAAGTTGGGACAACTCTGGAACCGGAAGAAAGCAGAGGAAGAGACTACCCAAGAAAAAAAATTAAGTTAAGTTAAGATTGAAGACAAAAGACTGTAGGTGGTGAAATTGATCTGCATTGAACTTAGTGTGTTATCCAGTTTCTAATTTTTTCTTTTTTTCACGGATGGAACTTTTGCAGGGACTCCCTATTTTTTTAAACTGAATGGATTAATTCTTTTTTTTCCACTTTTGCTTATACCTATGGATTAAAATTCTCCTTTTTTATAATGCTTGATTTGATTGATTGGATTGTTTTTCTCCATTTAAGACTTTTTCTTTCTTTCTTAAGCTTGGAATATAAAGAAGATAATAAGAAGGATTATAAAGAGGGTTGTAACTACAGGAGGAAAAGCAATTACACTGCCA